GCATTTATTTGATAAATATTTATTTAGCAAATGATCATGAACTCAACCATATAGATGTGTTGAATTGTTAATTTTATTATTGTTGTTTTATGGACCTGCGAATCCGTTATTATCGTTGTTATTATAGGCACGCACGTCAATTTTATTTTAGGTCTACGTGCCAACTAGTATAGGATACATGTTGTAACTAGACTAATAAGATGAGGAAACCATGGAGATGGTGTATTGATACTAATTCAATGCAATATTCCCTAGGAATCAACTAACTTGTCTTTCTTTTTAGCTCAGGAAGGTTAGATAGAATTAGTTCATAATCATCTACACTATCACATATATATATGTAGGTATGTTGATGAGACCTTTGCAGAATAAATCTCCTCACTAAAACATTAAGTCAGGATTACTATTTACCTTCCATCATTATAGTGAAAAACTTGCCTTTCATCATTATAGTGAAAAACGAAAGTTCTAAATCAATCCCAACTTGCTGAGTACACTCAATACCGGTCTATTAAGGATATATTTGACATTATGAAATATTTGATATTCTGAATAATGGATTTGAGTTAACTAAAATTTATATTTTGTTAAGTATACTCAAAGAGATAAATTGTAGATGCTCGTTAAACTAACACATAAAATGTGTGAAGACAAATAGTTGTAGCTTAATAATTTAGCAGTTGTATGGAGATACAATTGATAATAATATCTTCCCAAATATTTTATTAAGGTTTGTTGAGTACACTTAAGTTCTTAACATAACAAATGGGATCCCAACCTATTGCGAATCAAGCATCGATTCTATTAATTTATGTGTAAGAGTCATAAATTTATTTTAAACAGTAGGAGCATATTTAACTTAAGTTCATATTAAATTTGTGTAATGTATTTTAATACATATTAATTCTTTACTTTTTTTCATTTTACAGTTTTTAAATCATGAGTAATCATATGAATTTGAGAGGTATATTGGATTCCAACAAACTGACCATGCAAAATTTTCTCGATTAGCACTGCAATTCGAGAATTGTTCTCAAACATAAAAAATTGGTTATGTCCTTGAGCAACCCTTTCCAAGGGTACCTACTGAAAATTCAACTAAGGAAGAGGTGACTGCTTATGATAAACACGGTGATGGCGATATGTGTGATGCTTGCAGCTATGTCACCTAAGCTGCAAAAGCATTATGAGGGTATAGATGCTTATATTATGATTTTTCATCTTAAGGAGTTGTATGATGAACAATCACGTAGGGAAATATATGAGACTTTCAAGCAACTGTATCAGTGCAAAATAGTAAAAGGATCTTCAGTTAGTGCTCATATGCTGAAGGTGATTGGTTTTATTGAGAAAATTGGCTTAATTGGGTTCAATAATGAACTATAAACTAAGTATTGACTTGGTTCTATAATCTTTGTTGGAGAGTTATTCACAGTTCATCATGAATTTTAACATGAATAAGCTCAAATGCACTCCTTGAGTTGCTGAACATGCTTAAAATTGTTGAGCCCAATGTCAAAACAGGTGATGGGCGTGTCCTAGCTATTCAATCCTCCAAAAGCACTAAAAGTAAAGTTAAATGAAGTTTTAAGGAAACAATCGAGAAGGCTAAGAGCAATAACAAAACTGTCAAAGCAAACAATGACAATACCAAGTCTGATGACCCGTGCTATCACTATGGAGTGAAATGTCATTGGAAGAGAAACTACAAAGCTTACCTTGCAAGTTTGAAGGGAAAGAAGTCTTCTGAAACTTCATATTCAAGTAAACTTGTTATCGATGTTAATATGTCTATTTTATTACAAATCTCTATAAGTTTTGGAGCATTCAAATTTAAATGACTTAATGATGTTAAAAAGTCTATAAAGATACTAATTTTTAAGTAGAAAGTACTGAAATAGAATATCAAAATTTGTCTCATTAATCTCAAGATTTTGAGAGACTTTATTTTTTAAAAAAAAGAAGATAATGTGTTTTTTTTTTTTCCGTTCAATAGTTCTCTTTTATTTTCCTTTCAATAAACATTAAAATTATGATTAAAAAAATTTCTATGGGTTATATTTGTTTTCATTTTTTTTCTCTCTATTATTGTTTATTTCTATTTTCTATGAAAATATTAAATTGGATTCTTATAAGTTTTTTTCTTTTTTCATTTATTTTTTGTGAAAAAATATCTATTTTTAATTAAATTGTAAAATGTCATATAGATTATTTTATAATTAAAATTTTATTATATTGATTTTTTTTAAAAGGTATGTTATATCAATAATGCTGAATATTATATAATATTTTGATTATTATATATTTAATTAACGTCTTAAATTTGTATTCTTTTTTAAAAAAAAGTATTATATGGAAAAGGGAAGATGTGGGAACCACAATTTCATTGTGAGAATTTCACAATATTATACTAGATTCACGTGAATTTTATTTCAAATGAAAGTTTTTAGAAATTTTTTAAATTTTACAAAATTTATGAAAGTTTTAAGATGAAAGTATATAGAAATCTATGATAGACTTCTACTAATTCTGTACAAATCTATAAAAAGTTTACAAAATCCACGAAGTCATCATTTAAAAAAAAAAAAAGTTAATAAAAGTTTTTAAATGTTCCAATTGAATACATCCCCTTAGTGTCACCATAATCACTCAATTTGATTTTGTTTCACCATGGTCACTCAATTTTATATTTAGTGTCATCATGTCTGTGGCCACCCAATTTAATATAATGTTTCATCATGTCTACCCAACTTCTTTTCGTTAATTTTAAAAAGAATAAAATGGTAACTTTGCATATATATTGGTATAAATAAATTTTTAAAATAGTGATTTTTTTTAGAATGTGTTGTTAAAAAGTAGAAAAAAATTTAGATTTACGTGTAATATTATTTTATTAAGATAATATGTGGTTGAAAATGAATTTGAAGAAAAATGTATAATTGAAAAATGGAGCTCAAACTAGGGATAAGTATCTGTTTGGAATTTATTATTATTATTTTTTCCTTTCGTTCTACTTTCTAAAGCTAAACATTAACTTTAATTATACATTTCGTAGGATTTGAAAGTATTATCCACTTATGAATTGTTTATTTCTTCAAAAGAAGAATTATAGCACAATAAAATGGAACTCAACATAGGCTAAGTTTTGCAATTCAAATTTTGTGATCAACTCTTTTAAGTTTTAGCCTTGTTTGATAGGAATTAAAATTTAGATTTTAATCTAAGTCAAAGCAATTAATTTTAATCATATTTTGTGGGATCAACAACTTTTTAAATCATGCATTTTATCAACTTTTAACAAAATTTGTAAAAAAATTAATTTTAACCCATACCAAACATGGGTTTAATGAAGTTACTAAAATTGCCATTCTCACATTTGGATGATTCATTGTTGTTATTTGAAGTTTTCTATTGATGCAGTACATTAATTATTTTCCAAAAAGATCACACTACTTGATGGAGCAATGTTTATGATATAAAAATAATTAGATTATAAGGTATCGATTTCAATTTGGGTTAGATAATTTGCAATTTTTCTAAATTACTTCAAATAATATATATATGAAAAAAAATCTCTTGCATAAGTTGACTTAATAATTATTATACCTATTTTAATTGACAAGACTATCACGAGCACGAATTATAGTAACCTAATAGTGATGGAAATTAGAAAACCCTTGTCCAAGGCCCATGTGGCCCTGGACGTATAGCAGGCTTCTCGAAATTATATCCAAATTAAGTCATTTCATCAAAGGGATTGTCAAAAGTAAAATTATATTAGCATTTCTTTGTTTATAAGCTCTGTTCTGTTAATTAATTACGTGACATGCATATGATAGATTGGGTCTCTCGTTAGCTGACTGAGTATTGACCATGTCAATTGACTTGGATAGGATAAATTAATCTGTCCTTGTACCTTGAGTCTAGCTCTTTATTTTCTTATTATTGAAGACAAGCATATAAGTCTCGTTTTTCGAGGCTTGATAGGGAATATCTTATTACGTGTTTCTCACCTTGCAAGATGATTGACCTATCTATTTATTGCTTCACGAGATGCCTCACCTTGTGAGATGAATGTTCACTTATTCCTAGCTTCTCTTACTGCATGAGATGATTATTTCAATTATTTCTCGCTTCATGAGATATTCCTGATTATGCACCGATCATGCAAGATGTTCATTCATTGCCTTGCAAAATGCTTATTCCTCACTTTGCAAGATCTCGTCACATGAGATGTTTATTTCTCGTTTTATAAGATGCTATTCCCTACCACAAGGTGATGTTGATTCCTCACCCCTTGAGATGTTTATTCCTTACTCACGAGATGATTTCTCTCCAAGCGAGATATTTATTCCTCGCTTTGCGATTCGAGATACTACTTTAATACATTGACATAGGAGAGTTAGTCACTTGTTGGAAAGAGTGTCATCCTAAACCTATTGCCTCGTTTGTGAAGATAAATGGCGAACTAATACCTAGCTCCGACAAAAATATTTTTTTCCCATATATTGACTTCGTCGTAACTCAGATGAATTTTGGGATCTGCTAAATAAAGATATATCGGCAAAGGGGAGCCACCCCAACTATTGGATGTTAGTTTAGTCCACATTACAAATAAATTACTATCGAAAATTTGTAAGATCTCATAGGCAATTTTTAAGTCCTCGTCTATTTGAAATCTACTATATTATTGAAGTTATTTATAAATTTTCACTTATTTTGGATCAACTTATATTTTTGAGATAATTCATAAATCACTGACTAATCGAAGACAACATAGTTCATCATTCTCTACTATAACATGCTCTGATGCTCACTTACGACTCAAACCATATGGGAAGAACGAATCAAATTTCTCAACCTTCGTATCCACTTAAATTGATTGTAAAGAAGAATATTATTGAAGGATGAAAGAAAAATAGGGAAAAGGAAAAAATGAGATCAGCTCAGTCAAAATGTTTGACCAAATTGGATTTTTTGCATACTTTCTGCGCCAGTCAAAAAGTCATCGCTTAGACCACAGTTAAAGTACATGCTATATATTTTCCCTTTCTCCTCTCTCTCTATACCAAACGTAGATCCACACTACACTCAATCCTTAGCTGTTTCTCTCTCTATCTGGTAATTATATCTTCATGTATGTTTATATTTACGCATAATATTATTCGTCATTTTTTTTCTCGCATGCATTTATATCCACATTTAATTGTAGAAAAAGGAAATTTGGAAGTTGGATGAATTGATATATATATATATATTTTTAATTATATTTAGCTTAGGGTTTTGAAGCTTTAGGGTAAAAAATGATTGCGAAAGGAAGTTGTATTGTATTGTAATTTTATCGGTATTTGAGAGTTTTGAAGCTTAATAACATTTCTAGAATCATATGAATGATGGAAAGCAGATGTATTGAATTGTATTTTCTTTTATTTTTTGGTGTTTGGGAAGGTTATATGGACACTTATCATATCGTGGAAACTTTTAAGCTGATTTAAGGTCAATTAATTTTGCTTCCTCCCCCCTCCCCTCCCCTCCCTTTTAATTATCTTGGATATGCTCAGGTATAGAATTATTTAGCGCTTGATAAATACATTTGATTTTGTGAAATGGGAATGCCACCTGATTGCCTGATTTTTCAAGAATTAGTTGTAAATGTTAAGCTTATACATGGTAGGTCGCCGAAGGCTGTAGGGAAAAACTTGTGGAAGAAAATAGAAGGGTCATTCTGTAACGGCTAAGAATTTTGGTCATTGTGTCTTTATCTATTTCTTCATGAGATTTGTAGAATGCAGGGATTATAATAATCTGCAGGTGTTTAAAAATTTTGTTTCCGAGTCTTGTAATGAATATCTTGGATTCTGTTTAGATGATAAGAAATAGATTATTTTGATAATAGGCTTAATGATATGGCCTTGTGACATGGTGAGGCATTGAAGAATGTGGGGCAAAGTTTTGGAGAAAGAATCTGTAACGGCTAAGATATTTGGTCATTGAGTCTTGCTATCTCTATCTTCACTTGATTGGTTGAATATGGTGATTTGGAGAGTCTGCAGGCTTTTTAAACTTTTGTTTACCGAGTCGTGTAACCTTTATATTCATTGGATTTTTAAAGATGTAGATTATGACAATAAATATGCATCTGTACCTATTCATGATCCACCGTGTATATAAGATTAGATTTTACATTAATTTGGGGCATAATTGACAGTGTTCAATTTGCATAAATGGACAAAAATGGATTTTGAGAATTTTAGCTCAAAAATATAGGCTTCTTAAGAATCATGGCTTTGCAAATTGTGTAGGTAATCAGATGAAGGAAGTTGAGAATTAATGCCCTGTATCAGTTTGACTCATAGAATTTATGCGGTGGACGGTTATTAAAAGAATGGGTTCACTTTGCAGTAAACAGCGACATTGCAATCAGGCTGATTCTGAAGAAAACGCACAGGTAAATCCTTTTTATAATCCAGCTTTTCTTAACATCTAATTATATTATAAATTTTTGTAGTTTTTCCTGCTTTTCTTTTATTTCACATCATCTTGGCATTTATTGTTGCATGTGAAATAAATTTCAGACTGCAGAAATAGAAAGACGGATAGAGCAAGAAACAAAGGCGGAGAAGCATATTCAAAAACTTCTACTTCTTGGTAGTGGACATGCAATCTTTTTGGTTATGCTAAATATTTAGTATAGTACTAATATCTATTTTGCTAATGTTCATTGATTTCAAAATAGTGATCAATTATGGTTCTTTTTGCTTGTTTTATCGAAAATTTTGTCTAATCTAATGCTTCGTATTGAAATTTGTACCTTACAAAGATTCATCGATTTGAATATGTAACTCTTAAGTACATCTTTCAGGCTAAACAAAATGTCACTTGTATAAGCAACCGAGTAAAGGCATAGTCTCTTAAGTTTTAAAGATTGTATGGCACAAATTTTTTCAAGTGAAAAATGATTTTTTTGAAGAACGTCTGAAAAAGTTGTGGGATAGGATGTGTGGTGGAAAAGGATTTTGTAGAACAATGATTTTAGAAAAATCTACGCCAAACATGCTTTTAGCCCCTGTTTATCTCCCTTTTGCTCAAAACTCTTTTTTCCTCAAACTCATTTTCAATCACACATTCACACAATAAAATGTTTTGCACCACATTTACCAAAAAATCATTATTTCAAAAATCATTTCCCCCAAAAGTTCTTTAAAAACGGAGACAAACGGAGGCTTAGCGTGGTCGTTGTTTTCATGAAATTCTTTTTTGCTTTTAATCTTCTTTATTTTAATCTGTCTAGAATCTTTAATTTTTTCCTTTTTTGCACTATACTTTCTCTTTCTTGAGCCTTTTATTTGACATATCATGGAATGTACTTGTTTGTTATTAAGGTGCTGGAGATTCAGGGAAGTCCACCATTTTCAAGCAGGCAAGATATTGTGTTTACTTCTGAAACGATCATGAGTTTTTTTTTTAAATATATATTTGCATTTATATTCAGTTGATTCAAGTAATTTTTTGTCTATACTGCCTTGCAGATAAAACTTTTATTTCAGAGTGGTTTTGATGAGGCAGAGCTAAAGGGCTACACCCCTGTCATCCATGCCAATGTTTATCAGACAATAAAAGTACGCAATATTTGCAAGGGTGTGTTGGTTGTTTCCCTTTGGCAATATGTAAAACCATTTAAATGACTGCCAATTGATAGGGATACACGTAGTTTTCAAATGGCATTATTCGTAAAGAATTGAGATTGAAAGGGGCAGAATTTCAATTTTTCATTTAATCGTTGCCAACAGATACTACATGATGGAGCGAAGGAGTTGGCTCAAACAGAAGAAGATCCCTTGAAGTATACTATATCTGATGAAAACAAGGTCTCAAATTTTCAATCTTTGTATTTGATGGTTGATTTAGGACTAGTAAAATACTGCAAATCAGGGGACATATTAGATTTAACAATTTATGTAACTCTGTTTTTCTGCATCAGGAAAATGGGGAGAAACTTGCAGAAATTGGTGGTAGGTTGGATTATCCATGTCTCACCAAAGAGCTGGCAGAAGAGATAGAAGCTCTTTGGAGAGACAATGCCATACAGGTTACTTCTGTTTTTATTTCAGCTCTTTAATATGATCAATCTTTTTCTAATTTGTTTTCTCAAATAATTTGGACCTGTTCATAGATTAGCATTTTAAATGTTTTACTGTGATCTCTTCTAACTTAACAGGAAACATATTCACGTGGTAATGAACTGCAAGTTCCTGACTGCACCCAATATTTTATGGAAAATTTGCAAAGATTGTCTGATACAAATTATGTTCCCACAAAGGTATGAAAAAAAAAAAAAAAAAAAAAAAAAAAAAAAAAAAAAAAAAGACTATAAATACATAATACTTTTTCCTAAAAACTGGTGTTACATATAAAGAAATAGAACCACAGTATTCTTTCAGATTATTTTCGTACTAACGCTAACGACACCCTAAAAATGACAAAGGTTTTATAGCCTATAAGTTCAAGTCTGGAGAACCAGATTTTACTTAGTACACCCCATTCCAAATCTCTGTAAAAGAAAAAAAAAAAAGAGTGAATGCTATCATTTATCTTCTTTTTCATGTCATTTTATCTAAATTGAAAAGAAACAATATATTCACAGCAATCCATGACACATTTACTTTTAATCTTATATTGTTTCAGAAAAATTGCTGAAATATTTATGGTTTTAGCAAAACTACGTGGGACAATTCTTAGTCGCTCTTATGTTTAATTAATGCATAAGATGATAAATAATATATGACAAGTTAGTGACTAAAAACATGTTTTTGGGCGAATTAAGCCCCTGTTTGATGCTCATTACCTGAAAATGAAAATGGGGGAATAGTATTTTTTGGAAAAATGAGTGGTTAAAAAAGAAGGAAAATTTTTCGATTTACGTGTAATATTATTTTATGAAAGATTGTGTGGTCGAAAATAGGAGAGAGAAAAATGGAATGTAATGTAATTTAATTTAATGAGGATCAAACAGGGGCTAAATAAATTTTCGAAGTGCCCATCCATAAAATTTTTCAATGGTCTCTTTATTATGTGTAAGGGATGAATCCCATATTGAAAAGAGAATGAAAGCTTGACTAGTTTATATAATTTTATTGTGTAAGCAATTAGAAGTCGATTTTACCCTTATTTCAAAGAAATTGGCTTGTGTAATTTTGAAAGACTATTGAATACATATAAAATATTTAACTGACAATTTTTAAAGCATTCCATCTATCTCCATTAATTTGCTTTATGTTCAGCATATGCACTATAGAAACTGAGGCAATGTATATCAATTTCATCAATTTGGAGTTTTTATTGGTTAGAGTTGAGGTGTCTTTTAGCTTATTGCAAGTCTGGACCAAGTTACAAGAGGTCAAACTAGACTCTTATTGCAAGGGATCACTGGCACATCTTCATATTCCTTTTTAAGAAGTCCATTTTATCACCATGTGATGGCAATTCCATTCCTGATCATCCTTATCACTGATTTGATATTAAGTTCATCTCTTGTGTTTTGATCATTTTTTTCACTTTCTTAGGTGTGTTTGGGTGCCATTTTTGTCCAAAGAATTCATTTTCCAATCACGTCAGTAGGGCCCACCATTGAATGCCATGTGTATTTAATTATTGATAGTTATATTTGATTTTCGATTATACCCCCCCTTTTGGCTAGATGTTTGCGTGTTTTGTGTTGTGTTGGAGAGAAGGGGCAAAATTGGTAAATTGAAATCAAACCCATTTAATGTTACAATTACATGTCACTTTTGTGTCAGACGAAATGGAAAAAGAAATTGTTACTTCATAGACCAACAGTTTGAAAAGGGGGAAAAAATTTGGTGTCTGTTAAGGAAGTAAATCACGTTAGTTTGGAAAATAGTATAATTAGAAGTTATTGTGTTTCCATTCTTATGTTAAGTTACCAAATATGTACTTTTGTTATTTTTCTGTATAAATTAGAGGGGAGGAAGAAATTTATCTTTGACTCTCCATTATTCTCTTCCAAATCGTGACATGGTATCAGAGCTTGGATAATCTAGGGTTTAGTACTCACCTCTGTTACTGAATTTTTTTTCCCCTTCTTCTTGTTGACTATATATATCTATATCTTCCATCTGCTGCTTCTTTCTTTCCTGTTCTGGTTGGGTATATGGTTGACAATTGAAAAGCTTATGACATCGCTGGAGCTTGAGATTGCAAGAGGTGACGGCCGATTGTTCGTTTGGCGGTTTATGTGGTAAATCGAGGGGTTTTAAGTTGTCCGACGGGTCTGTGGTTGTCGAGTGGTGGTTAAGTTGTGTGTTTAGCTGACTGTGAGTAGCGGTGTGGAAATTTCTGCGGTCGACGAAGTTGAATCACAGGCGGTGAGTGATTGATTTTTCGATAACTGATTTGTTTGTTGGTCGAGCTTGCTTATGGGCTGTTGAAATAATTGGACAGTGAGTGATTTGTAGATTGGGTCAGTGTTACGTTTTAATTTTGTAGGTCAATTTGGCTGGGCCTTTAATTTATTCCAGTTGATTTGGTTTGGGCCTTTAATTTATTCATCATGTCATCTAAGATGGATATATTCAATTTAACTGGACCCGTGGCGCCTGAAAAATTGAATGAAAGTAATTACACTTATTGGGCTAGGTGTGTCGAAGTCTTTTTACGGGGTAATGGTTTATTTAATCACTTGATTTTAGACGAGCCATCAGCCAAGACAACAGAAAGTGATTCTACTCTTAATGATCGGTGGGATCAAGAGGATAACGCTATAATTGGTCTTATGATCGGTAGCATTGAACCTCATATAGGGTCTTCATCCCTCTATATGACTACTGCGAAACAAATTTGGGAGCATCTCAAATACATACATTCTGAAACTGAAATTGTTACTCGGATTTATGAGACGTGTAAGCAATACGTTGGGCTTGAGAAGGGCTCCCCTCATTGAATATTATAATAAGTTTTTGGTTGTGTGTCAGGAAAGAAATGTACATCAACCTCTTTCTCTTGATTTGAAAGTTATGGAAAAACAGCGTGAAGACATTGATGTTGTTAAATTCCTTATTGGTCTTCCGCCTGAGTTTGAAGTAGTTCGAGCACAGATATTAGGTGGGAAGGAGCTTCCCAGTCTTGCAGAGACATTCTTTCGTATTCAGTGCTCTACCTTATCAGATGGTACACTCAACGGAGATCGTTTTGCTTTTATTGCTCGGGGTGGCTCATTTAGAGGTGGACGTAACATTTGAAGTGGACGTGGTTTTAGCCCTTGAGGTGGATGAGACACTAGAGGCAATGGTCGTTCGGGAAATAGTGACCCTCGAAAATATACTCACTGTGGTCGTATAGGTCATTCCGTTGATTATTGTTAGGATGTACACAGCAAACCATCTGGCTCTGCCAATCAGGTCTCATCTAATGAGGCCCATAACCCTGTATTTGGACTAGTGGCTAACTCTAGTTCAACGTCTAAATCAGATCTCTTATCTGTCTCACGAGATGAGTATGTTGAGTTCTTAGCTCATAAACATGCCACTTCTAATTCTATGGCCACCCTCGCTCAGTCAGGTACCGCATCTTCTCATTGTCTATTGTCGTCCTCTCACAATCCATGAATTATAGATTCTGGAGCAACTGAACACATGACTGGTTCGTCTATGTCTCTTCTTGATTATCATCCTGTTATTTCTCCGAAATGTGTCACTCTTGCTAACGATTCCCGAACTAATGTAGCAAGGTCGAGCGATGCCCATCTTAGTCCTAATATTGATCTATCGGCTGTTCTTCATGTTCCTGGGTTTCCCTTTAGTTTATTGTCCATTAGTAAAATTACCACAACTCTTCAATCTTCTGTAACGTTTTATCCCTCTTTATGTGTTTTTCAGGATCTCAAGACGAAGAGGATGATTGGTATGGGGCATGAAGTTGGTGGCTTGTATTACCTAGATCTTTCACTAGTCTCTCATCATCGAGCTCTCCAGTCCTCTGTTTCACCTATGCAGTGGCATTTTCGTCTTGGTCACCCTTCTCTTTCCACTCTAAAACATCAAGTTGTGAGTCTTCGTAATGTGTCTTCCCTTGAGTCTGAAACTTGTCAGCTTAACAAATATCACTGTGCATCTTTTCCTTTAAGAACCTTTAGTAGAGTTTTTAGTTTATTTGAGATAGTTCATTATGATGTATGGGGGACCGATAAATATTTCCTCTAATAAATTTCAATATTTCATTACTTTTGTGGATGACTATTCGCGTATGATTGGGTTGTTTTTAATGTAGAATCGCTCTGAGTTACTTTTCATGTTTCAAATCTTTCGTACTTTGATTAAAACTCAATTTAATCAGAAAATCCGTATTTTGTGGTCTGATAATGCCAAAGAGTATATGTCTGCTTCTTTTACATCATATCTCTCTTCCAAAGTTATTATTCACCAAACATCTTGCACATACACTCCACAACAAAATGGAATTGCAGAATGCAAAAATCGTCATCTGTTAGAAGTTACTCGTGCTCTCCTGTGTCATATGCATGTCCCTAAACGATTTTGGTGTGACGATGTCCTGACTGCATGCTATCTCATTAATCGCATGCCATCCTCCATTTTGGACGGTGCATCTCCATTCTCCATTCTGTTTTTCTCCTCTTCACAGTATTCGTTACCTCTTAAGGTTTTTGGGTGTGTTTATTATGTCCATCATCTTGGTTCAGGCCGTGACAAACTCGACTCTCGCTCTATGAAATGTATTTTCCTTAGCTACTCCCAAACACAAAAGGGATATCGATGTTATAGTCCTTCTCTACAACGCTATTTTGTAAGTACAGATGTTACTTTTGACGGGTCCACAACCTATTTCTCGGATCATAGTACGTCTTTCGAATCCACTCGAGTCCCTGTTATTTCACTCGTACCATATCTATCTATTGGTGTTCCTTCAGGACAAGACTCGACTCCAGCATCCGAGTTGTACTCATCTCATTAGAAACAACCACCTCTTTTACAGGTTTATACTCGACGACCTAAGCCACCAACATTTGTGGCCCTATCTGTCATCTCGCCGTCTACAGATCCTGCATCCATCATTGTTATGATTCTAAGTCTTTGTCCATTGCTCTCCATGAAGGTAAACGTACTTGTGTAACTCAACATACTATAAGCTATTATGTTACTTTAGGTTCATTGTCCCCTTCTTTTTTCTTATTTCACGACCTAGCTTTCTAGTGTTTTTGTACCTAAGATAGTGACAGAGGCTTTGTCTGATCCTGAGTGGTGAAAGGCTATGGAATTAGAAGTGGCAGCATTGCACGAGAATAAGACTTGGGAGCTCGTTCCTCGACCGGCTAGGATGTCCTGTTGGTAACAAATGGGTTTTTGTTCCGAAGTTCAATCCTGATGGGACTGTTAATCGATTGAAAGCCCGACTAGTTGCTAGAGGTTACACTCAAACTTATGGCATTGATTCTGACGAAACATTCTCTTCAGTTGCTAAGATCACTTTTATTCGAGTTTTGATTTCTATTGTTGCTAACCTTAGTTGGATCTTGTTTCAATTGGATATTAAAAATGCATTCCTTTATGTTGATTTGCACTAAGAGGTTTATATGGAGCAACCACCTGGGTTTATTGCTCAGAGGGAGTATAAGGACTATATTTGTAAGTTGAAAAAGGCTCTATATGGGTTAAAACAATCACCAAGGGCATGGTTTGGGAAGTTTTCTGAGGTGGTTGTGGAATTTGGTTTTCAGAGATGTCAGATAGATCATTCAGTATTTCATCTACAGATTGGTACAAGTTATATTATTCTTATAGTTTATGTTGAAGATATTGTAATCACTGGTGATGATACAGATGGGATTGCCCGATTAAAACAGTTTCTACAAAAAATAAAAATAAAAAATTCAGACCAAAGATCTAGGTAAGCTCCGATATTTCTTGGGTATTGAAGTCGCTAGGTCACAAGTAGGTATTAATTTATCTCAAAGAAATATGTACTTGATCTATTAGATGAGACATGTTTTCTTGGAACTCATCCAATTGATACTCCCATGGATCCCAACGTGAAACTTTTGAAGGATGGAGAATCATTTGGTGAACCAGGAAAATATCGTCTTTTAGTTGAAAAATTGAATTATCTTACCATCACAAGATCAGATATTTCCTATGCAGTTAGCATCATTAGTCAGTTTTTGGATGCTGCTCAGGTTCCTAATTGGGAAGCTGTGATACGTATTATTCGGTATTTAAAAAAAGGCTCCAGGTTTTGGATTATTGTATAAACCGAATGGACACATCAGAATAGAAGGATTTACAGACGCAGATTGGGCAGGATCTCCGTTAGAGAGAGAGTCCACTACTGATTTCTTTACTTTTCTTGGTGGTAATCTTGTTTCTTAGAAAAGTAAGAAACAAACTGTAGTAGTAAAGTCAAATGCAGAAGCAGAATATAGGGCGATGACTCATACTACTAGTGAGTTGACATGGTTGCAGCACTTTCTTTAAGAAATCAATTTCTCACCTTCCACTCCTATTCCAATGTTTTGTGATAATCAGGCTGCTCTACATATTGCATCAAATCCAATCTTTCATGAGAAGACCAAATATATTGAAGTTGATTGTCACTTTATTCGGGACAAAATAGTGAGTGGTGATATATGTATACCATCTGTGAAGACAGGAGACCAACTTACTGATATGTTTATAAAGTCGTTGAATGGTAATCGATTGAAGTATGTTTGTTCCAAGCTGGGATTACATGATGTATATGCTCCAGCTTGAGAGGAAGTGTTAAGGAAGTAAATAACGTTAGTTTGAAAAATAGTATAACTAGAAGTTATTGTGTTTCCATGCTTATATCAAGTTACCAAATATGCACTCTTGTTATTTTTCTATATAAATTAGAGGGGATGAAGAAATTTATCTTTGACTCTCCATTATTCTCTTCCAAATCGTGACAGTGTCAAACAATGTGCTAGTGTTACATGGATTTTTCTTTTTCCGATAACATAATATTAATGCAATGTGAACTTAATGGCTCCACAACAGAGAAGTTAAAGGTTTTTTTCCAACTTCCAAATTACTGCAGTTGACCATTCCATTTTTTGGAAACTTATTGCTGTTTCCTTTTCTTTCTTTTTTTTTTTTTTTTTTTTTTTTTTTTTTTTTTTTTTTTTTTTTTTTTTGTGTATATGCTCAATGTTGTGATAATTTTTGTGAATCGTAATCATCACTCTTGTTGTCATGTAGGAAGATGTTCTTTATGCTAGGGTTCGCACAACTGGTGTTGTAGAAATTCAATTCAGGTGACCACTGATTCCCTTGCCTTCTGAAAAATAGACCTTTTTTTGTTTCCATCACAGACTATCATTTTCCTGTATTTATTTCCTGTGGCTCATCATATGTAAAGTTCTTTCTTTCGTTCTTTTCTAAGTTTTAAAAGAGTTTTCATCATCTCCCCGTGCCATTGCCTGTTTTTATCAGCAGATTCAATCATTTTCTGAAATAAGAGGGAGATAAGTGGTTTGTTGCTCATGGACAAGCATTTTTGGCTAAGATTTTTTTGTTTCCAAACATGTTTGGATATATTACCTTTTTTTCTTACTTGAAAGGAAAAAAAGTTACTTATTTTGAATGTAGCTCTTACCTTAGCCCGTGTTTGACAGTTATTCTTTTGGGAAGAATGAGTTTTGAATTGTAAATTTTTGGGTTAAAAAGTAGGAAAAATTTTTGGGTTTACGTGAAGAATATTTTATTGTGTGTGGTTCAAAATGAGTACAAGAAAAAAGAGTTTTAAAAGAATGGTTGTCAACCAGGGGCTTAGTGTCTAGGTCAGTAATTTTTTCCCCCAAATTTGACCAATAAGAACAATTTTGTTGCTTATATGTGAACTCGTTAAACTTTGTAACATTCCCAGTTTCTGAAATATTAAATAAGAGTATAAGCCAGATACTTTATGTATCAACACTATAAAATTTTCATTAGTCACCTGTCACCATGCTCAACATGTGCGGGTCACTTCAAAACTTGTGACTTTCTTAAGGTGGTTGCATCCTACACTATGTAGTTCACATGGAAAGTGTTTTCTCTTGCATATTAAACATGTTAATAGGGTAAAAATTCTTTATAAATAAAATTAATCAAATTATGTGGCTGAACTCTGAAATACTGGCAATACCTCGAAGCTGCCCCAGTCAAAGATATTTTATCGAGATTAAGAAGTGTTTAGTGAAGATGTCAAGTTCAGATTAATAATATTTTCTCGAATGACATTCCACATATACATATCTATATACTCTCTGCAACATGCATTATTCACCTTCTAACTTAAGTGGCTTATATAGTGTATGCTCACCAGATTTTTAGAGGTTCAATTCAGTTTTAAATTTAAAATGGACCTTGACAATGACATAAATATCCTTTTCATTTACAGTTTTGCTAATTAAATAAATTTTTCTCTGTCCAATTCTTACCCCGGATTCATCTCAAGTCTCAATTCACATCTTGTCAAAGAAGTGAATGGGGTACATGTTATGCTCATTGACTGCCATGGTTAATTATCTGGATTTATTTATCAATGTTTTATCTAATAAACTTTGTGTTTTCTCACTGCTGTGGCCAATTTGTGATGTATTTGTTTGTTAGCAGCCTTCCGCCTGAACAACTAAAGGTGCAATTTATGTTGATGATTGGGATTCGGCTCCCATCACTGCCTTTTTCTCTCATTTATTATTATTTCCTAACTCTATTCTCCACCATCTAGCAATACTAAAGACATCTTGTCTAATAATTCTTAATAGTCACGCAAATCATTTATATGTTTGCAGCCCAGTTGGTCAGAAAAAAAGAAGTGGTGAAGTATATCGACTCTTCGATGTTGGAGGCCAGAGAAATGAGAGAAGAAAGTGGATCCATCTTTTTGAGGGTGTTACAGCTGTGATATTTTGTGTGGCTATAAGCGAGTACGACTGATATTACGTCCAAGTTGATAAGTAGATAATTTTGTTGTAATTTATTCATGGTATCATAATTGTGCTTCAGGTATGATCGAACGCTCTTCGAGGATGATAACAAGAATCGAATGACAGAGACTAAGGAGCTCTTTGAATGGGTCCTGAAGCAACCATGCTTCGAGGTTTTACCTACAATGCTTGAATTTTTTTTCTTTTATTTGTAACAAAGGGTTACCTAGTTTGACAGAATAGTATGGGTTAAAACTTACTTGTAAGTAAATTTTTTTGCACTAAAGTCGTGTTTTTGTCAACACTAATTTATTTGAAATGCAGCTTGTGTTCTAAGGAGGGAATGACTTTTGATGTTTTTTGTTTATGCAGAAAACTGCATTCATGCTGTTTCTAAACAAATTTGATTTATTCGAGAAGAAGGTTCTGCAAGTAGGTCCAGAGAGTGGTCAGTTTTTATCTTTTGGAAATTTCCATGGAATTGCGATTTAATATTCTTTGCTGCAGGTCCCTCTGAATGTATGTGAGTGGTACAAGGATTACCAGCCAGTTTCAACTGGAAAACAGGAAATTGAGCATGCATACGAGTAAGCATTTTCTTTTTCCTTCTTTCCAAATGCACAAAGGATGCTAAACAGGCTCTTATCGAAGCGAATCCTAGAGGTGTCAAACTTGGCCAGTTAGGCCGTGCTGGCCCACACAAGTCTGGATTTACGAAAGGGGAAAAAATGACTAGGGCCGTGTTGGCCAAGGGTGGCCTTTGACCTAGCACGGCCTATTGATTCTTGTTGACACTTGTGTTAAATATACACTGAGATCCTCTACTGAAAGTTGTGATATAAAGCAAAATGAATGATATCCAACTTCTTGATATGTGAAAAAATTATGAATGGGGACCTGGGGGCGTCAGATTAATTTTCTATTATTCGTGCATGAAAAATAAGTCAAGTGATGTCTTATTTACTTTGCCACACTGTATACATGATTGACGCTAGAAGATTTGAAGTTGCTGATACTGGTAAATGGCTTGTATTGCTATCATTTCGACTGAAAAGTTCTTTAGTTGTGGCCAAACATAATAGTCTTCTTACTCTTTATCACATATTTTTCAGGTTTGTGAAGAAGAAATTCGAGGAATTATATTTTCAGAGCACTGCACCAGAATGTGTCGACCGGGTGTTCAAGATCTACAGGACCACTGCACTCGATCAGAAACTCATAAAGAAGACTTTCAAACTTGTAGACGAGACTTTGAGAAGGCGAAATCTATTTGAAGCAGGTTTATTGTGATGCCAAAAGGTTGACATAGAAGATCTCAAGATTTTTGGATCCAATTAATTTTTTTGGCTTTTGTTTGTTTTGAACTCCTGTCTTTTATTTATTTTTTTCAATTTTCTCAGCCAAAAATCTTGCAGAAAATTTTTCTTATACAAGGATGGATCGGTTTACATTTTTAATAATATATTCTTTTGACATTTATCATCTGTAAACATACATGAGTAATCAATATTCTTTTTTTGTGTGCTTCTGTCTGTTTATGAATATTTTGAAGGAGCCGTGTTGCACTTACAGAAAGGAAAAGAAAAGGAGCCTTACTAGATGAACATAGAGGATGACATTAAGGTTAACATAGCTTTCACACATGGGGTCGGCATTTTTTTATTCACCCCGGGGCTCACGCATTTTGTATGAGTGCTATGTCATTCTCTATGTCGTCGGCTATGTTCATTTAGAATTATTCAAAGAAAAGTCACATAATTTTTCCACAACTCACAGTGGGCATGGGTAGGTGATATTTTTTTGGCATTTTTTTATCAAACATGGGGTCCACACGTGTTTATTCTGATAGAATTTTGTGAATTGGAATTCTGTACAAATGGAAATTTTCATTTTGAAGACAGCTGAATATGGTCAAATCTAACCACGTGTTACCCTATAAGAGAAAAACAAATTATTGTGAAGGTCACAAAAATCAAATTAAAAATTATGTTAGGAAATAATTCAATTTGAAGTGATCATCGGCCGTACAGATGGTGACAAACTTCAACTGCTCTTATAGAACGTGGCTCAATGATATCCAGTCATATATTATGTGGGCCTAGAACCCTGGATCAAGGCCCATTATTTTTATTAGGACCCAACGGTCCATTTTTTCGATTATGAATTTCTTCGGGATAATGGAAAAAGTTTGAATGATTTTAAGATAAGATTTCAAATCAAATCGACTTATTTTCATTTTGCCTAATTTTTCCTGCTAAAGTGAATTATAGATGAGAGAGAAGAGACGAAAGATCTTATCCAATGCCAAGGTGGGTAATGTATGGGGTCCATTAAAGAAAATAAAAACACAGACTTTATGACTTTTGTAGATTATTGTTGTACCTTTCGGATTTTATTCCAATTATTACACACAGCTAATTTCCAACTGCATTAATTTCAATAATACTACTTGAGCAATTTGGATAAGTATTAACCTAACCAAAACTGCATCCGCCACCCCCACCAAGCATAAGTTGAGATATGCTGTTTAAAATTGATTGTCCAATTTACTGTTCATTCAACGATTAAATGATACATCATTTACACTTATTTTTCAATACAAATGACAGTGAAAAAAAGTGGTACATTTTTCAATACAAAAAGTTTTTATTCGAGCGCATTCTCCTAATAATATAATTTTACATATAAATTCAAAAAAAAAATATATATATATATATTTTGGTGTTCATTTGACTTTATTTTACATATAAATTATCAATTTAAGAGATATTTTTTTTTACAATTGTTCCTAGAATTTGTTCTCATTGCCAAAAATTAAAAAAAAAACAAAAACAAAAACCAAAAACAAAACAAAAAAAAAAGGGGAAAAAAAAAAAAT